AAACCCTTGTAACAAATTTACAACGTGGTCAAATAAAACAAATTCCTGAGTTGACCACAATCAAAATTTGACATTTTGAAGAACTGGGTAGTGTTCTTTTTTTTTATTTTTTTATTTTTATTATTATTATTATTTTAATATAAATTTATTTAGTTTTCAATATTCACTTCCACAAATTTTTGAGTTCCAAATTTTCACCCCATCTCACCCCTCCCCCCACCCCAAGATGGCATGCATTCTGAATATCCCTTCCCCTAATCTGTCCTCTCTTCTATCTCTCCCCCCTTCTCTTGTCCCCTACCCCTTCTATTTTCCTGTAGGGCAGGATAGACTTCTATACCCCATCTCCTGTATTTCTTATTTCCCAGTAGCATGTGAAAACATTTTTTTTAAACATATATTTTTGAAACTTTAGGTTTCAAATTTTCTCTCTTCCTCCCTCCCCATCCACCCTCATTGAAAAGGCAAACAACTCAATATAGGTTATATATGTGCAGTTATGCAGAACACTTCCATAGTAGACATGTTGTGAAAAACTAACTCTATTTCCCTTAATCCTATCCTGCCCTCCCATTTATTCTATTCTTCTTTTGACCCTGTCCCTCCTCAGAAGTATTTCTTCTGATTACCCCTTTCCCAATCTGCCCTCCTCTCTATCATCCCCTGCTCTCTTGTCCCCTTCTCCCCCTATTTTCCTGTAGGGTAAGACAGATTTCCATACCCAATTGAATGTGTATGTTATTCCCTCCTTAAGCCAAATCCTATGAGAATAAGATTCATCATCATTCCCTCTCACCTTCCCTGTTTCCCCTCCACTGTAAGAGACTTTTCTTTTCTGTTTTTTTTTGTGAGATAATTTACCCATTCTACCTCTCCCTTTCTTCTTCTCTAGTATATCCTCTCTCATCCCTTAATTTTATTCTCCAGATATGACCCCTTAATCTTCAACTCACCCTGTGCCCTCTATTATCTATCTATCTATCTATCTATCTATCTATCTATCTATCTATCTATCTATCTATCTATCATACATATAATTTTTTCTCAACTACCCTAATACTGACAAAGGTCTCATGAGTTATAAATATCATCTTTCCATGCAGGAATGTAAACAGTTCAATCTTAATAAGTCTCTTATGATTTCTCTTTCCTGTTTACCTCTTCATGTTCCACTTGAGTCCTGTATTTGAAAGTCAAATTTTCTATTCAGCTCTGGTCTTTTCATCAAATGCTTGAAAGTCCTCTATTTCACTGAATGACCATTTTTTCCCCTGAAGGATTATACTCAGTTTTGCTGGGTAGGTGATTCTTGGTTGTAATCCTATCTCCTTTGCCCTCGGAATATTATATTCCATGCCCTGTGGTCCTTTAATGTAGAAGCTGCTAAATCTTGTGTTATCCTGATTGTGTTTCCAGACTTGAATTGTTTCCTTCTGGCAGCTTGTAATATTTTCTCCTTGACCTGGGAACTCTGGAATTTGGCTACAATATTCCTAGGAGTTTTCCTTTGGGGATCTCTTTCAGGAGGAGATCTGTGGATTCTTTCAATTTCTATTTTGCCCTCTGGTTCTAATATCAGGGCAGTTTTCCTTGATAATTTCTTGAAAGATGATGTCTAGGCTCTTTTTTTGATCATGGCTTTCAGATAGTCCAATAATTTTTAAATTCTCTCTCCTGGATCTATTTTCCAGGTCAGTTGTTTTTCCAATGAGATATTTCACATTGTTTTCTAATTTTTCATTCTTTTGGATTTGTTTTACAGTGTCTTGATTTCTCATAAAGTCACTAGCTTCCAATTGCTCTATTCTAATTTTTAAGGAAGTATTTTCTTCAGTAAGCTTTTGGACTTCCTTTTCCATTTGGCCAATTTTTCTTTTTAGGGCATTTTTCTCCTTGTTGGCTTTTTGGACCTCTTTTGCCATTTGGGTTAGGCTATTTTTTAAGGTGTTATTTTCTTCAGTATTTTTTTGGGTCTCCTTTAGCAAGCTGTTGACTTGTTTTTCATGATTTTCTTGCATCACTCTCATTTCTCTTCCCAGTTTTTCCTCTACTTCTCTTACTTGCTTCTCAAAATCCCTTTTGAGCTCTTCCAAGGCCTGGGACTGATTCATATTTTTCTTGGAGGCTTTGGATGTAGGAGCTTTGACTTTGTTGTCTTCTTCTGGTTGTATATTTTTATCTTCTTTTTCACCAAAGTAAGATAATATAGTCTGACTCTTTTTGCCCTGCTTCCTCATGATCCCGGCCAATTACTTGAGTTTTAAACTCTTTGTTAAGGTAAGAGTCTGCTTCCAATGTGGAGAATGTACTGTCCCAAGCTTCAGGGGTTTGTACAGCTGTTTTCAGAGATACTTGTAGGGACCTGTAAATTTTCAGTTCTTCCAAGATGGTATGATAAGGGGCGAGGTGTTTACTCCTTTCCTGGCCTATGACCACAAGTACTCCTTTCTGTCCTGTAACCGTGAGGAGGGTTTCTCTCCACAGCCACTACAAGCTCCACCATGCCAGTGTTCCTCCTCACCCCAGTACCGCCACCCAGAACTGTGGCCCAGATCCAAACACAGGCAAAGCAAGAGATTCCTGCCTCAGCACTGGCAGAGAGATCCCTGCAATCCCTCTGTGATCAGCCACTGGATTCCCCTTCAGTCTGTGGGCCAGAAGCTCGGGAAGCAGCTGACCGCCTGCCCCCCCCCCCCCCGCCCCAGCGCCAGGCTCTTGGGGAATGAAGCTGAGACTCCGCCTTCCTCTCTCAGCACTGATAGAAACAGACTTTTCCCACTGACCTTCTAAGTTGTCTTTGGCATTAGTGGGTTGAGGAGTCTGGAAACCTCCACAGCTGCCCACGATTCAGTCCTCTGAAGCCTCCTCCAGGTTCGCTGTGCCCTACGTGCCCACCACGCTGTGCTGTGCTCCCAGCCCAGTGCGATACACCTTTCTGATCAATCATCCAGGTTGTCTTGGGCTACAAATTTGTTTCACTCTGTCTTTTTGTGGGTTCTGCTGCTTCAAAATTTGTTTAGAGCCATTTTTTATGAGTATTTGGAGGGGTTTGGAGGAGAGCTCAAGCAAGTCACTGCTTTCACTCTGCCATCTTGGTTCCGCCCCCAGGTGGATAGCATTCTTCATCATTGGTCTGATCCCACTCATTTCACCCTGATAAAATTCATAAGAATAAGTTTTCCCAGGTTTCTCTAAAACTGTCCCTTTTGCCATCTCTTAGCACAATAGTACTGCATTACATTCATATACCATTGTTTGTTTAGACATTCCTCAATTGATGAACACCCCTTTCCCCCTTAATTTCCAGTTCTTTGACTCTACAACAAGGAGCTGCTATAAAATTTTTATACATATATGTCCTTTTCCTCTTTCTTTGATATCTTTGCAATATAGGCCCAGTAGTGAATGGTATTGCTAGGTCAAAGGGTATATACAGTTTAATAACTTTTTAAGTATAGTTCCAAATTGCTTTCCATAATGGTTGGACCAGTTTATAGTTCCACCAACGGTGCATTAATGTACCTATTTTCTTGCAGCCCCTCTGGTGTTTATCATTTTGCTTTTTAGTCACCTATGCTATTCTGATGGGTATGAAGTATAGCCTCAGAGCTGCTTTAATTTACATTTCTTCTATTTTTAGTGATTTGCAGCATTTTTTCATCTTGTTGCTAGCTTGTATTTCTTTTGAAAACTGACTTCCTAATAGTGATATTTTCAAGTAGTATTATATTTTTGTACTTTCTACCTCTCTGGCTGTGGTAACAAAGCCAATTTGTGTTCCAGGGCTATATCTATCTATCTGTCTGTCTGTGTATCTATCTGTCCTTTTCAACTAGAAGTAACCTCTTCTGGCATATCTCCCTGCCTCAGATTTCTCCCCACTCCAGTCTGTTTTTCCAGAGCTCAGCTGCCAAAATGTTCTTCCTGAAGTGCAGGTCTGACTGTGTCACACACACCCCTAATTTAATAAAGTGGAGTGGTTCTCTGTTACTTCTAGGATCAAACATAAAATCTTGTTTGGCATTTAAAAGTTCTTTATCACTTGGCCCCCTCCTCTCTTTGAGTCTTCTTACACCTTCCTTCCTTCCATGTACTGCCAAGATCCATTAACACTGCTTTTCTTGCTGTTCCATGAAGAAGACACTCCATCACTTGGTACTGGGCATTTACTTTGGTTGTTCCCCATAGCTGGGATGCTCGTCCTCCTCATCTCCTCTTCCTGGCTTCCCTGGATTCTTTCAAGTCTCAGCTAAAATCCTACCTTCTGCAGGAAAACTTTAGTGATCCTCCTCAATAATAGTACCTTCCCTCTGAGGTTATCCTGTTTTTATCTAGTTTGTACATAGCTGAATGTTCTCTCTCCCATTACATTGGGAGCCCCTTGAGGGCAGGTACTGTTTTTGCCTTTCTTTGTATACCCAGTGCTTAGCATGGCATTTGGCACTGAATTGGGACTTAATTAATGCTTTTTGGCTAGAAGACTTAAATGTTGATCTCTAGCTTAACCTTAATTGAAAGAGAGGACACTCTCCACTCTTTTTAGATGGATGGGGAGGCAGTAATCTTGTCTAGACTAGTCTCAAACTCTGTTATCAGAATCCATTTCCCTATGAAATGTCTTAGTTTTTGTTCTACTAATTTTTCTAAAAGGAAAAGTCTAGGAAAAGATTATACATTGGAGAAAAAAATTCTTAATATTTTCAGTTGAACTGAAAAGGTTTTTTTAATACGATTTCATTGTCCTCTGTAAAAATTCAACATTTTTAAAAGCAGAAACAGGAATTCCTTTTTTATTTTAATTATTGCCAGATTCATTTTGCCAAAGGATGCAAAGTTTCTTTTTCTGCTGAAACAGAGCTCTTCTTTATAGGTTCTGTATCCTAAAAACATCTACATAAGGGACTATATTGCAAAAGCAGAAGTTGTTTGCCATTTTATAGAATTTGACAAAAATGACAGAAATTGTACCTTGACGTCCAGATGTTCTCTTTATTCATCAGACTTGTCTGCCTCTTGGAATTCCAGAGTGGTGATCATCACAGTTAACTCCTTAGGTAATTCTCAGACCTACCTCGATGTGGTACAAAGCAATGTGGACATGTTCAGGGAGCTCATCCCAGTGCTGGGACATTACAGCCCACAGAGTGTCATACTTGTTGCCTCTCAACCAGGTAAAATTGACATCTAATTTCTTTTTGATTTATTTTAAGCAACATAGCAATAGTCATCTTCCTGTCTTCTTTTTCTCAGAACCATATAACTATGTGAATTCTGGTATAAAATACACAAACACATGGAAGCCAGAAGCACTCATACAACACAAAATTAAAATAGCCCCTAAAACATTGGGCAGTCTTAATTAACTACCCCTCAGTGATCCTTCAATACTGCTACCTCTTCTGCAAAAGGATTTCATGTAACTGTAGTCTGGTGCAGACCATAGATGCTAAAACATGACTATTTTTAGTGTCCTTGAAACTCCAGTAAGAATTGGCATGTATTTGGGCCTCCTCAAGTCTCATAACACATGGCCACTACATGCCCATCAGCTGTCATTTGACTCCTGAGAATAAGATTTGCTTGTGTATGTGCATATTCACAGTTATCAGCTAAACCTTCATCAGAAAGAAAATACTCAATTACTTCCACTAAAATATAATAGAATTGAGCATTTTCAAACATATTTTGTAAAGTACCTTTTAATTATTTTACTTCTTTAAAAAAAGTTTTCTTTCCCAAGGTGATATGGCATCTAAGTAAAGAGAACAGTTTTTTAAAATAACTCCTTTTATGGATGTTGTTTCCTGCTAATTTTGATTTGCTAGTTGAGAAACAATTTCATATGATCATAGATCGAGACTTCAGGGACCTTACAGGCCATCTAGTCCAACCCTGTTATTTCACAGATAAGGAAACTGAGATCTAGGGCAGGCCTTCCAGATTCTAGATTTCATTCTAGGACCACCTTCTATAGGCGCCCTTCCTCCCTAAACTATCTTATATTTGTTTTGTATTTGCTATATACATATTTGTATTGGCTTCCCTAATAGAGAAGCAGGGAGTGTTCAGTTTTTGTTTTTATACTTTAGTGCCTAAGATAGTGCCTGGCACAAAGTAGACACTTTTTCATTTATTGGATCCTGTGGGTTCAAGTATCAAACTGCACTAAGACTCTTAGGACACCATATGTATACCCAGCCTTCACTACAGTTATTATTATTATTGTAATATACAATAAAGGGGGGGGCTTATTTAATGCGATATTGAGAAGCAGTGTAGTCTAGTAGATTGAGAGCCAGCCATGGTGTCAGGTTGACCTGGATTCAAGTTCTGTCTCTAATGCAAAATAGCTATATGACCCTGGGCAAGTCATTTAACTTCCTAGGTTACTCTAAGACTATCAGTTGGGAAACAGTTGTTGACCTGTTTTGGTGGATAGAATTTCCTTTCGACGGATACCCTAAATTCATGAAATCATAGGTCCAAATTGTTTCCCTCCCTTTTCAAACAAAGCAAAATTCAGTGATATTATAATACTGCATAGTAATGAATCTCATTTTAAAATGCCAGTTTTAAACTGAGAAAAAAAACTTGATTGTTAAGAAGAAATTACCATTCTCTACAGGAATATTAGTTTTAAAACTGAGTATTCCACTCCTTGTCATTAACTTGTTCTTTCAGGCATCTTTAGGAAACTATTAACTTGCCGCTATTTTTAAACAGTTTTTTTGGATTAGTGATTTCATTGGTTTAGGGAACCTCTGGATGAAGAAAATCCCTCTTCCAAAGCAGATTTGCACCAGCTTTGCAATTTATAAGGCTTAGAGAGTTGCTAAATGACCCAAGAGGTTAAGTGATTTGCCCATTCACCTGCTTTAGGTCAGAGATGGAACTTCAGTCCAGGCCTTTTTGATTCTGAGGATAGCTCTCTATCCACTGTGCCCTGCTGTTCTTTTAACATCTTATACTATAATAGAATAATTTAAAGCAGTTTTGAAATGTAACTTCTACTATCAAACATGTGTAAAGTATATTGTTAAAACTTTATTTTAACAATATTCCTTGTAAAGCAGGGTTCTTAACCTTTTTTTTTATGTCATGGACTCTTTTGGCAGTTTTAGAAAACCTATGGACCTTTTTTCAGAACAGTTGCCTACATTCATCATTAAAAGAAAAGCTGAATTTCAGTTAGTGAAAATAAATATGTAATTTTTTTCTCACACAAGGTCACAGACCCACTGAAATCTGTTTTTAGATAAACCCAAGGTTAAGAACTCCTATAGAGTAAAACACAATATATGGAAGGTCTGTATTGGAGCCTGTCCCAATAAATTGGTTTCTGGTGTACCAAATGAACCCTGTTAATAGATGCCAAGAAAAGTGAGGCTCCAGTGTAATGTATTTCACAAAACATAACAAATCTTGATTTTCTTCATGAGCTTGTAAGGTGGTAGCCTACTGGGAAGTAATGCTATATTTTTCCTGTTTGTACCCAATGCTTAGTTGAAATCATGACATATGCAGCATGGAAACTGAGTGCCTTTCCTGAAAATAGAGTGATAGGAATTGGATGCAATCTGGATTCAAAGAGATTCCAGTATATTCTTACAAATATTTTGAAAGCACAGAACTCAGGAAAGGAAGTGTGGATTATTGGTGAACAAGGTGAAGACAAAGGTAAAGTAGTCCAGATCTATTTTTTAAAATTTGAAACATGTCATCACAAGTGGTCTTTGGGGTTCCTTTATGTTGCACCTGGGAACGTAGGAGTGCTGGGATTTCATAGCTTGTGGCCATTAGCTTTACTACCAGCAACAAAATGGGAGTTTCTAGGAGAGCTGTTCTCTTTTGCATATATTTATTTTCATGTAGGTTCAAGGGTAAGACCAAGCAATTTTGTCAGATATCTTATATAAGGTAACTATTTTCTTATGAAGCATAGTGCCCAAGACTTACCTTGATGCCAACTTTCCATTCTTGTAGTTAACTAGAATACATAAAACACCTGGCTTCTCTCACTGTTCTTCCCCTTGTAGGAACTTTCTAACCTTCCAGTCATCTTCCTACGCCTTGGCTCCCTTCGGTTCTCCTTTCCTGGGATGGTTTCAGTGTCATTCATTCTTCCTCCTTATGCTCCCCTAAACTACCATCCTCCTCCTTCCCCAGGCATTCAGTCCAAAGTGACTTGATGAAAAGTGTTATGTGTTAGCACTAATCAAGACCTTATCTTACATAAGTTAATATTCATTTAGCAAATATTTATTGAGTACTTTTTCTGTACATAGTGATACAGAAAATCTGAGGATTCATACATTTGTACTGTTGCCAATCATATTTATCAACATGTTAGAGACGTTTTAAAATCAAGTTTTTATTATATGCTCAAAACACAGATTCAGGGTTCTAAATGGCCACTGGACAATGGACAAAGTTCTCCTAAGACTTATATAGTTTCCAGTTACAACAGAGAAAGAAAAAAAAAGGTACAGCTGCCAAAATGGAAAAATACACATTTTAAAGATATACTTGGGGAATTTATAGTAAACTAATTGAAAAGGAGGCTTACATGTCAAAAGATACTTAAGGAAAAAAATTACCTCAGTTCAATTTGTAAATTGATCAATAAACACAGAGAGGATTTGTCTGGGATTTATAACTACCAAATGGCTATCATAAAGCTAAGCCAGAAATTCTTTTACCCCTGACCAGTTTCTTACCTTAGTTAAAATAACTAGAAGTCTCAGCTAAATTATACCATAAGGAAAGCTTTTGCTGGCTACATGATTTTTTGTTACAAATAAAATGACCGTGCTGGAGCTAAATAGAAAGGAAATTTAAAATTCTTACAGTAGTGTTGGAGAATATCTCAACCTAGAGGTCCTAAGATCTTTCTGGAGAATAATTCCTTGCACCGTGTTCCCTCTGTGGGGCAGCTGGGTGAAGTCGTGATAGGGTCCAGGCCAGGAGTCAGAAAAACTCATTTTCCTGAGTTCTAATATGGCTTCAGACACACACTAACTGTGTGACTCTGGGCAAGTCACTTAACCCAATTTGCCTCAGTTTCCTTATCTGTAAAATGAACTGGAGAAGGAAATAGCAAGCCATTCTAGTATCTTTGCCAAGAAAACCCAAAATAGGGTCACAAAGAATTGGACATTACTGTAAAATGACCGAATAGTTCTCTTTGACTGAAGGTTATTAAATCAAGAGGCAAAGATAGATGCCAAAAGTTTAATTAGCATCAGCTGGTGGGTACTTGTCAGGTGGCTAACAAGTCTGCAGAACAGTTTAAGGGGTTGAATAATAGGTACGGAATATTACATGATTTGGGGGAGAGAATATTTTGACCTTGGTGTCCCCCAAGATCAGGTCTTTTCCAAAGGGCATATTTCCCTGTAGTTAATCCCATCAGAATGTCTGTCTGGGACGGGATCTTTAAGAGAGTGGAGATCTCCCAGCTCAACCCTTCAGGCTCCATTTCTTTGATCTCTGAGATTCCTTTTAAATGTTGGAAAGGTGAGAGAAGATGGTTCCCCTAAACTCACAGCATATAGGTTTTGTCCATTTCCTCTTCAATAGCCCTGTTCTAAGCATAGTGAAGGGTACTGAAAAGATATGTTCCTTACCTTCAAATGGGAGTTTATAATCTAACTGGGAGGTCAGACATAGCAGTGAAATAAGACAAAGAACAGTGAGTCATCAAGGTAAGGTCCTTGGCAACTCAGCTCCTTCTTAACTATCTTGGAATTTAAATCGACACAAGCCTGTCAGTAAGTTCAGTGTTGAGGATATCAGGATTGTTATGGTAGAAATATCTCCTCTTTGAGTTCACTGCTGCTGAATAAACCTAGCACAACACAGAATTTAGAGAGGTAAACACCTAGGTTTTATTATGCTTAAGCACAGGTTCAGGAGGTAGAAAATTAACCCTGAACCAAGATTAGAGTTTCTGACAAGCCTTATAAAGAAAATTATGTCAGAGAGACAGAGAAATAATTTTTTAGCATTAAAAAAATCTTTATGGCCTCTTAGACCATCAAGGTCATACAGACCTAGTCAGATTCATTATCTTATGCTTCTTTGAATTAAGGAAGAGCAAAACAAAGTACCTAAGCAAACTAAGTTACAACAAATCAGTAAACAGACTGAGTTTTAGATTTAAGTACTGAGTTTACCAGGTCCTACATTTATAGAACTACAAGACCACATCTTAAAGAAGTCAGGTGAGCTAATTGAGGGGATTTACATGTCACAAAAATGCCAGAAGCTCAGAGTCAGGGAAATTCTTCCACAAATCTTTTTGAAAAATTTTAAAGATGTTGTATTCCCTTTTTCCTCCTTTGTTTCTTATCTCAAGAATGTGAAAAGCCTTCACTTAATACTATCCTTCCATGATTCAGGCTTTTTTTTCTTTAGCCATGTGAGGTTAATATTAACAGAAAACAAGCTTCAATTAACCAAAATATTTCAGGGAGAATGGCGTAATAAAATTGAATAAAAGGAAAATTACTATTACAGGATTCAGCCTAGAATTTCAATTTAAATAAAAAAGGAAAATGTCTCTCTGAGCCTTGTACCTTATCTAGCTTCTGCTTCTGGCCATGAGACACCAGAATGCTAGGATTGTAGAAGTCAAGAACCTAGAACTTGACATCTGTTCTATAGCCATCATGCTAGTTCAGGCCCCTGCAAGGCAATGAGGCATAGTATGGTGGAAAGAGCAGTGGTTTGGGAGCTGAAAGACCTGGGTCTAGATTCTGGTTCTAAAACTTAGGTGATTGAGGACAAGCACTTAACCTCTCTAGGTTTACTGGTAAAATGAGGATAGTTAGATTAAATGATTTCTAAAGCTCTAAATCCTAGGATTCTTGTTTCCTCACATCTGGACTATTGCAGCTGCCACCTAACTGGATTCACAATATCCAGGTTCTTCTTCATCTAATATATCCTGCACCCCTCTGTCCAAATAATCTCCCAGAAGAACCGCTTTCATCATGTAACTCCTCTATTCAAAACCCTTCAGTTGCCTGTAGTATAAATTAGCCTTTCATTCTTCCACAGTCTGGTCTCAACCAAGTTTTATTTGCCTTATCTCCTGCTTCTCTCCTAGCTTGATTGGGCCAAACTTGTCTGCTTGTGGCCCTGAGCACAACTGTACTCATTCTGTGAGCCAGGCCTAGAATGCCCTTCTTTGTCTGTGTGGATCCAACACACCCTTGAACAATTCATCAGCAAGCATTGTTCAGCACCTGCTATGTGCTGGGGTACAAATGTAAAAATAAGTAGTCCCTGTTTTTAAGGGACTTACATTCAGTCGGAGAGACAACAAATATGTGTGTGTGTACACACACACATACATATGTATCATCTACAATGCAAGGTGGTTTAAGGGAGGGAGAGCACTAGCTGTTAGGAGCCATCGTGAAAGGATCTGTGTAGAGAGTGGTGTGAAAAGAAGCAAAAGATTTATTAAAGGAGAGAGGGGAGTACTTCATAGGCAGGAGGGATGGCTGAGGCCCAGAAATCTGTCATTCCATGGTGGGATATGCTCTGTGTGAGGAGCAGCAAGAAGTCAGCTCTCCTAGACTAGAGAGTGCATGATGGGGAATAATGTAGGGCAGGGCTAGAAAGACTGGTCTGGGTCAGGTTTGGAAGGACTCTGATGGCAAGCTGACCGTTTCAGATCATGGTGGTCTTGTTCTCCTCTGAACTCATTTCATTTATTATTATCTATTATACTCATTTGACAGCTGATCCCTGCACAACCATCTGACATCAGAACTACTGTTATTGTAGTCTAAAATTATCTTCTTGTCTTATTTCACTGCAAACAGGCTGTTAATGTATACTTTGGTTCCCCATAGATCCTAAGGTACTTGAGGACAAAAGAATATCTTCTCCTTCTGTGGCTTCTGCAGCAGTGGTGTCAATCTCAAATGAAAACAGCCACATTTTTACTTAGCCATCAGTTAACATTATCTGTGTTCTGTTGTATATTTATTTTATTAACATTTCCCAATTACATTTTAATCTGGTTGGGGCAGGAGTTTTCCTGGGGACCTATAAATTTGATATCTTTGTTCTATAGGATTTAACACAATGCTATTATACACATGGGAAATGCTCAGTTTATTTAAAACAGTTCTTTAAATTTTATTTAAATCAGTTATTTAAAATGATGTTTATTGATTGATTAACTCACATCTAAGTGTGGGAAAAATTTCAGAGAAGCTCTGCTGATTTTACAGTAATATGGAAATGACTACATTTCCCCAGTACACACAAATTACTCTTAGTTTTGACTTTGTTCCTGTTAACATTATGTTGAGAGAGTCAATCCTAGAAATACCCTTGACAAACAAATGAGTCAATCAGTTAATCAGGTATTTATTAAGTACTTACTGTTTGCCAGGCATTTTGCTAAGTGCTAGAAATATAAAAATAAAGAATGAAAAAATTCCTACTCCTGTTGAAGCAATGACTCACATTCTAATGGGGGAAACAAGTACAGATAAAACATATATATATATATATATATATATATATATATATATATATACACACACACACACACATATACATACATATATATATAATAAAGTTAGTAAAACATATCGAGTGAATGAGTGACTGAATATTTATTCTGTCATATTTTAAATTTTGATTTGTTCCCAAATAGCAAGTTGGAAATGGAGAAAGATTAGTTTTGTTTAGGTAAGCTGGTTTCCATATGGATTTGAGAGGAGAAAAAATTTAGGAAAATTTATTGTCAACCTTTCGGACCATGATATAGGAAAAAACACTAGATGTTGAGTCAGAAACCTATGTTTGAGTCACTAGCTGGGTGACCATGTGCAAATCCTTTAATATCTATGAACCTCAGTTTTCCTTATTCATAAAATTAATATAGAATCTCAGAATCCCAGAGGCCATCTAGTTTAACTGGTACCTAAACAAAACCCCTATTGCAACCAGCTGACAAGGAGAGCATTCAGCCTTTGCATATAGACCTTAATTCGGAAAGACTTTTCACTTTAGTGGATTGTAAGCTTATTGTTAACAATGACGGTGTTAACAGTAATCATTAATAATAATTGTTAACAATAACAATGGTAACATGTCAGCCAAAATACTTATAGAATAATTAGAATAAAACATTGGAAGAATAATAGAATCTGAGTTATAATCTGGCCCTTATATCCTTATCTCAAAAGATTGCCTTCTAGGATTGTATGAGCTGCTTATACCCTGGTCCTCCAGTTGAAAGCTGGTTTTGCACGCCCTCTGCTGGTGACAGTTTTTGGGTTTAGCTCAGGGCTTGTTAAACTTTTTCCACTTACAACTCCTTCAGTCTCAACCCACAGTTTAAGAAGCACTGGTTAGCTGATGTTTTTATCTGATCATGTGATGAAACTAAGTGGCCACAGTTGTTTTTCAGGGATCTGGAAAAAGGCCAGGATATAAAGCTTGGAAAGGATGGGAAGGATGTCTCTTCATGAGACCCAAATTGACCCAAGCTTAGACACTAGGAAAAAATGCTATGGGCAGCAACCTTTTTCAATTTGTTGAGGTTTAAAGATATTCTAAACATAACAAAGATCAACAGATGTGAATATTTCTACATACAGACAACAGGAAACAAGGATTGTATATGAAACCTCCAATTTCTGTTGTGTACAGCTTATATAAAGCTGTTAAAGACAGCATGTTAGATTTAAAGCTGCCTTATATCTGGGGTGTTCAGGAGCACTAGCACCTCTGGTGTGAGGGCTTGCCCTTTTCAGGGCTGTTCATCCACCTTTTGTGGACCCTGATTCACCTACCTCTCACCTGTGGCTCCAAGAAGCCATAGCACATGCATAGGCCACACCCTGGTAACTGTCTATGGGCAGACAGGTTAAACCAGGTTGAGGGTAACCAGCAAATCTCAAACCTGTCAGTGCGCCAGGGGGATGTCAGCCCCAAGCATGTGAAGACTTTCCCCAGTGGAATGGATGAAAACAATTTGTTCCAAGACCATGAAGGTGGCTAAAGTAGGTGCTGTAGAGCGCTGAAAGCTTAGTCAGTCCTAGAAGACACCAAGATCATCTACTGCATCCTGGGCTTTTGCCAGTCATCTTGACTTTTGTCCTGCCACTGGACTTTGATGAAGAGAGAGTGAGACTGAGGACTTTGTGCAGTTCTCCCTCACTTAAATCCAATTCACAAAAAAGTCAAGACATCAGTCTGTGATATAGTTGTTCCCCTTCAAAAACCAAGGACAAACAACAATATCTCCCTTTGAACTTCTTTCTGTTCTCTTCCGTGCATTTTTAAAAAAGGTTTCATTTGTGTTTTTCCCCTTCATTTTTATCTTGATATCAGTATCAGTAACTCTCCTCTTCTCTCTAACTCCCTAACATTTTCTCTGGCTATCCCCATACCTGGAATGCTCTACCTCCTCAACTCTGCCTACCAGCTTCCCTTGAAGTCCCAAATAAAATGGAATCTTTTACAGGGAGCCTTTCCCAGCCTATCCTAATTTTAGTGCCTTCCCTCAGTTAATTATTTCAGCTTGCTTTGTATATATTTGTTTACATGTTGTCTCCTCCATTAAATTATAAACTCCTTGAGGGCAGGGACTGTCTTTTGCCTCTCTTTATGTCCCCAGAGATTAGCACAGTACCTGGCACATTGTAGGTACTTAATAAATGTTTATTGATTAAATCATATCTGTGTGGGAAAAGTTTCAGAAAAGCTCAGATGGTTCTACAGTAATATGGAAGTGACTACATTTCCCCAGGACACACAGATTACTCTTAGTTTTGCCTTTGTACGTGTTAACATTATGTTGGGAGGGTTAATGGAAAAAATACCCTCGAAAAACAAATCAGTCAGTTAATCTGGTGTCTATTAAGCACCTGCTATTTGCCAGGCACTTTGGTAAGTGCTGGGAATATAAAAACAAAGAATGAAAAAATTCCTACTCATGATGAAGCAATGAGCTTACATTCTAATGGGGGAAAGGAATACAGATGAAATATACATATAGCATAAATATAATGAATAAAAATACATACAAAGTAGCTAAAAATAATTTGGGAGGAAGGGTGCTAGTAGTTAGGGAAATTAGGAAAGGCATATGAAGAAGATGGTATTTAACCTATATCAGATTGTTTACCTTCTCAATTGGGGGGGTGGATTGGAGGGGAGGAAGAAAAGAATTTAGAACTCATAAATTTAAAAAGTGAATGTTGGGGGCAGCTAGGTGGATAGAACACCAGCCCTGTAGTCAGAAGGACCTGAGTTCAAATGCGGCCTCAGATCAAACACTTGACACTTACTAGTGTGTGACCCTGGGCAAGTCACTTGACCCCAGTTGCCTAAAAAAAAAAAGTAAATGTTAAAAATTGTTTTTACATGTAGTTGGAGAGAAAATAAAATACTAAATTTTTTTAAAGATGATGTTTGCCCTGCATCTTAAAGGAAGCACTTGTTAAGCACCTACTATCTGACAGGCACAGTCCTGGGCAGTGGGGTACGAGTAAAAAGAATGACACAATCTCAATTCCCAAGAAATTTACATTCTGACAGAGGAGATGATGATAATAATCCAAAATTTATATAGCACTTTTAGTTCCTGTTATGTCCATTTTATAGATGAGAAAACAGGTGGACAAAAGTCAAGTGACTTTCTCAAAGTAACACAGCTAATAAGTGCCCTAGGCAGAATTCAAAATTAGGCCTTTCTGACTGAAGTCTAGCTCTCTATCCACCATGCTACCCAGTTGCCTAAACAAGTATATAAGTATATGCAAAATAAAAATAAATAAACTAAATCAAAATAGTTAAGTACCAAGTAGTTTAGGGATCAGAAAAAAGCTTCATAGTTGGTAATTGCGCTGTGTCTCAAAGGAAGAAAGCAATTCTGAGGCAGAGGTGAGGAGGGAGTTCATTCCAGTTGCGTGGAATGGCCACTGCAAACGCACGAAGGTCAAAGATGGAGTGTGTGTGTGTGTGTGTGTGTGTGTGTGTGTGTGTGTGTGTGTGGTGAATACTGAGGAAACTAGTGTGGCTGGACCACAAAATGTGGGAGGGGGAGTCAAGATGCTGAAAAGATAGTTTGGAACCAGGTTTTGAAGAGTTTTAAAAATTAAACAGGGAGTGTGTGGGCTTTGGCATGGCAGCAACCCCCACCCCTCCACCCCCTACCCCGACTCCCAGAAATTGCCTAACATCTCTCTGGAGACCATCATGGAAATTATTGTGCTGGATCTGCCCTGGAAGCATGCTCCACAGACCTATAAGAACCTTGCAGAGTTGCCTTGATATGGTTAGTTCAAAGAAAACAAGTTTTATTGGGGCAGCAAAGATTTCATGGTCCAGAGTGATGATTCAGTAGGATTAATCAGTTGTACATCTCTGTGGAAAACAACTTGAAGATTAAATTCATGCAAAATTGAAATTCACAGGGACTAGAATTTTTTGTAGTAGCCAATGCAGGGCCAGTCCCCAGTGGCAGCCAGTTCTTTGTGACCTTGACCTCCATCCAGTGTCTTGATGGGAAACACTCCATTTATGCTAAGGCATCATTTAGAGATGGTGAATTGAGTGAAAATGGTGGAGACAAATTCTCAGGATGTGATGATGTGAAGACTATGGATTACACATATGGATTAAATTGGTGTCTAAGCAGATGTGTCCAAATGCTGGTCTGTCCCAGCAACTTGGATTTACATTTCCTTAGAGCTTATTCTGTTAACCATTCCCCAGAAGGACCTATGGACATCAGGGCTAAATGACTTCATAATTCTCATCTATTTACCCTTGAATCATCATTGGACTTATCCATCTGGTTTTAATTTTGGCCTTGCAGGTAGGTCTAGTGTCTCAGATGCACTAGAAATGGAAATATACTTTCCATCTCACTACATAAATACAAAATATTCATATATACATACATTATTGCAACTGATCAGAACTCTCCTGTATTTGTTACTTCTGATTCACCTGGGAAATAAATATAGAATGAGGAAATCTTGTTTAAAAAAAAACTGAACAGAGAATTTTATATTTGATGTTGAAGTAATAGGGGCTCCTGGAGTTAATCGAAAGGGGACTGACATGATCATATCTGTGCTTATGGAAATTTACTTTTGTAGCAACGTGGAGAATAGACTGCAGTGATAAGAGACTTGAAGCAGGGAGACCAACCCGGAGGCTATTGAAAGAAGTGAGGAAGGCCTGAGCTAAAGTGGTGGCTATGAGAGAAGAGAGAAAGGATCAGATATGATGGATATTAAGTAGGTAGAAACAGTAAGATTTGGAGACTGATTAGATATTTGGGTGAAGCAGATTGAGGATTTAAGGATAACCATTTGAGGTGAGTGGTCTTTCTCACTTTAAAGCAATCAACAGTGTATGTGGAAATTTCAAGGGGAAAAAAGGCAATTTTACTAAGTTCAGTACAGGCACTTCTTTAGCACAAAAGGTCTCTTATTGCTTCTTAATTCTTAGACCTAATAAATGTAAAAAATATATTTAATTTCCAGTACCTATGTGGGGTAGTCAGGAAGAAGCAGTGGCTCCCAGCTTCCAGGTGCAGCTGTCCAACAGGTAACAAAATGAGTTTTAAATAAACTTCATACTGTGTCAGAACTGTGATGGCCCAGTGGCCTGTGTCTGTGGCAACCTAACCTCTTTCAGTCATCCAGCCCAACTAATTTTTCATTAAAATGAATGTATCCTAAGGGATTTTTTTTTATCATTTTATTTGTATAGACTCTGTTTGTATCTGTGTTACATGCTAAAAATAAGAGTCCTTTTCAGTGCAGATTTGCATTTAGGGGTAGGGACTAGACCTGTGATTCATTGGTATAGGGCATGGGCTGGGAGAGGGAGGTTGTTGGTGGGAGGGGCAACTTTTTTCTCCAGGGCAAGTTGGCTTCAGTGCTGAGTACATACCTTGCCCAAGGTCCCAGTATATTTTAGAGGCAGGACATGAATAGCCAGGTCTTCCTGGCTTCAAGGCCAGTTCTCTTATCCTGAGAGGCCATGTAGCCACTCAGATTTGCATTTATCAAAATTTTTAAATGTAGGCTTCATAATTTATAATAATGTAACTTATGTGATAGTGACTTAAATACTTGTTTGGCCATTGCAAGTAAAATTAGTTAGCATGGACACATCTATAATTTGTAAGTATAACAGATTTTACAATTCTTTTGTCTTTGATCTGTGCTTTTCAGATTTTGTCTTAAATGTGCAGGTAATATTTATGGGACAGTAGAGTGAAATAAGCAGAGGCTTTATAATTTACCAGCAATAATTTATTCTTTTTACTGATTCCCAAGTGGCTATAAGTATTAAGCTTTTTCTCATGGAATTTTTGATGGTATGAGAGAGTGACTTTCCTCTCCACCCAGGCTGCTGCGCTCTAATTGCCTGTGCCCTAGTGAGGTTAGCCCATGTTAATGGCCCTGGTCTTTACCAGTCTACGCAGGGCACATTAGACTTTCATGACAGGAATCAAACTCATTGGAGGCTGACTTTTTTTTGGTTGCCTTTCTTTTTTTTTGATTAAATTTTTTATTTATGGAATAAAAGAAACATTTCTGTAACATAGTATAATAAAAATGATGATCGCACATGAAACTGCAGATCTGTTCTGTACAACTTGCTATTCCTTTTAGATATATAATAAAGTTATGTAAGTCCCCCCCCTTTTGTCTTCGTTCTCCCTGACCCCCACCTAGAGATGGCTACCATTAGACACAAATAGGTATGTGTGTGTGTGTGTGTATATATATATATACACATATATATATACATATATATATACATATATATGTATATATATGTATATATATACATATATGTGTATATATGTATATATATACATATATGTGTATATATGTATATATACATATATGTGTATATATGTATATATATGTATATATGTGTATATATGTATATATATATGTATATATATGTGTATATATATATGTATATATATATATAAAATTATTCTGTACATACTTCTGTTTATCCGATATTTCTCTGGATGTAGATAGTGTCTTTCTTCATATGTCCTTTATAGTTCTAAACCAGAACGTTAGTTTATTCATTTACAACATGGAAGGATTTTTTCAGTAACAAATGCTCATGTCAGCTATTCCCTTCCTAGTGTCAAGGTACCTGGAAAACTAAATTAGTAATCAGAAAATTGCTCGGTAAACCTGGGATCAAAACAAAGGGAATCATAGTCTTAAGACATATTTCTTCCAGAGTGTGGTAGAGTGTAGGGAGATCTCCCTCCTCTGTTACAGAAAATACCTTTCTTCTTATTTCTGCCAGATAGTCTCTACCCCTTGGACAGTGCTGGGTAAACAAGAGCAAATTTTTTGTCTTTGGCTTGCCTTTTTAAAATATCACACAAGTCACTATCCCATTATAACAATCTCACCTTGGGATAGATTACCATACAATGTAGTTTACTTTAGTTTGTTTACATTTTGGATTGGCATCTCCTGAGAGAGTTTTGGGAGATAGTCTAGTCCCCTTCACAATTCATTTACTAACCATGTCTTAAATTGGGTTACTTCTAATCTTATCCATATCCTATCTCTTGATAGTTTTGATTTCAGGATGATTTTTTTTTAATGTCCCTAGCTCAGGACTTATGGTTTCCTTTGCCCTGACTGCAGCTATCATAGGAAGATTAATGATATTCCTTGCTGTGCTATATGCCATTTGAAATGACTGCCTAGATCTTTAACTTTTTAATTCTGTCATCAGATATTTTTAGAATCTAACATAAGGACTCCCTATAATGAACTTATGGGAGAACGTGAACAGAAGTTTCACAGGATGGACAGAGATGGATTGGCAGCAATCTGCCTGTTTGGAGGAAATAACCAAATTGATGAGATCACAGACTTAATAGAGTATCTTAGTGACAATGGGGAAATTCTGGTCCAGTTCTAACTGAAGAAAGCAATATGTCTGCATAATGATTTATTTTCAAATTAATGAAGATCATTTTTAACTGGTAGGCAACTGCCGTTAAAGAAAACCTTAAATTATCATCAGATTCTAGGTAACTCACTAAATTATTCCTAAAGAAGTCATGTTCATGTGCCACAAAAGTTCTTATACTGTATATAATATGGAGAGCTAAGTAAGAATAGTTTAAATGTATCTTTTCTGACCTTTTTCCCCTTCTAACTTAGAGCCATGGAAATATTAAAAGTAAAAGGTCAAAGATCCTGGTCTGTTGGTCTGTCTGTATCCGACCTACTTGACAGTATCATAAACAATAAGAGGAAAGTTCATTCTGTATCAGTTTTAGCAAAGGTAAACTTTATTCTCTTTGTATCATGTTTTTACTTTTGTTATTAGTGTAATTTGATGTTTTTATCTGTATAAATATCTCCATTGTCATAGGATAAATAGTTATTGGGGACTTTGTGTTTTTAGTCCATTTCTTTTATATTAGGCACTTGAAAATTATAAATTATTGGATTTTTAAAAATCAGACTGCTTTATTAACTTTGTTCTCTGCCTTATCTGCATTTAAGACTAAACCACAGTTTAGGGTCGTCCCCCCCCCCCCACAGTTTAGTATTAATATGAACCTTGGAAAGGTAGCTAATGTGTTAGATGATAAGACTCTAAAAAGATTTCTACAGGCTGGAATCATGCTGAATTTTAACAAGAAATAACTCAAGGGACAACTGTGCAAAGTCCTATATTTAGGTTTTTTAAATTACATAAGTACACTATAGGGAAATGTTCTTTAAAAGCAGTAAATGCAAAGAGCAATGAATTTTAGGTGACTACAAGCTTAATATGAGTTAACATTGTGATATAGCAGCCAAAAAGCTGATAAAATCTTAGCTTATAGTAATAGATTTTTAATGTCCAGAACAAAGAAGGTGATATTCCTTCTTTCTTCTTTGCTAGTCAGATTACCTTTAGAACACTGTTTAGTTCTGGGTGCTGTATTTTAGAGAGGACATCAGAAAATTGTATTATGTCCTTGGAAGGATGACTAGCTTGGTGAAAGGGACTCATAATCATTTCATAGGAATGGTTGGAAGAAGTAGGAATGTATTTAACCTGAGAAAGAAAAACTTAAGAAGACTTGACACTTCCTGGATTTGTGACCATGGCCATGTCACTTATTCTTTCTAAGCCTCAGTTTCTTCATCTTTCAAGGGAGGTCTTATGACCTCTTGGTCCTTTCCAGTTCCAAATCTATGATTCTGTAAGTTGCAACATGGCAAATTCTGGCTCTCTATATAAAATAACTTCTTAATATCAAAACTGTCCAAAAAATGAAATGGATTTTTTTGGTATGATAGTAAATTCTCTTTCTCTGGAGGTATTAGAGTAGAAGCTGCATGACCCCTTATTGGGAGTGTCACAGAGCAGATTCATCCATCAGGCAGGGATTAGAATTCAATAATTCCTAATGTCCTTTCCACCTCCAGGATTCTGTGAATCAGAAACAATGAATGTTGAGGCTTACATACTTTGTGAGTACCATCAGTAATATATTACTTGTTTCTGATAGTGAGATCTTAGATTCAGAAAATAAATGAAGAAAAAGAAAAAAGAAAAATTCATCTTAAATAATTAACTTTTAAAAGAACAAAATATGCTAGCTCATATTTGAGATTTTAGCTGCTTTTCTTTGTCAGTGATATATATCTGCTATATAATCTTTATGTCTCCATTTCAGGGGTATTATAACATAAATAATGAAGTATTTTTAAGCTTGCCTTGCATCCTGGGAGACAAAGGTGTGTCTGAAGTCATCAAAGCCTCATCAAAGGAAGATCTGGTGGCTGAGAAACTCCAGAGCAGTGCATCATCAATTCATAGTCTCCAAAACCAACTGAAACTGTAAAAAGAATTTTCATTTTTGTAGTTTTTGGCACTAAAGTATATTCCTTTTATTCCTACGATTTCCCAATCCTTACACTGCTTTACTCAGTTTTTATAAAGAAAGTACATGCCATTGTAGCAGCTTTTTTGATTATTTGAATACAAATTAAAAAGAAAAATTATATCCTGGTACCCATTGTTTCTCCTGTGAAATCTATGCTGTACTTTAATCTTGGGGGCAGTGCAAACTATTTGGACACTTTACTTTCAAAATATTTCATTTTTAAATATGTATCGTAACACACACAAAATTAATACTTGGGAAATATTTTGAAAATGATGTCATTTTTTAGTTTAAAAGTAAAGTTTAACAATCTAAGTGTGTCATTTAAAAAATCTTGTATAACTTTACAGTTATTAGAATTGTACTAAGTTTCTACAGTTGATTCAAGGATTATGCAACTTATAATAATGATCTGTTTTGCTAATTATTGAACATGGTATTAGTAAAACACTTCATTCAAGTCAAACATTTTGTAAGCAGTGACTGCTATGTGCATAGTCATATTCTTCCTTTAATTGAATTAACTACCAAAAAAGGAAAAATATTTGACATACACTTTAGAATAATGAAATTAATTTTGCTGGTATATCTCAAGGAAAAGAAATAACTGTTTTAGTTTTGTTGGCCAGAAGCAATTTTATTTATTTTAACTTCAATTTAATATCGAAGTGTTTCTAGCTTGAAGAGAAAAATGTCCAAAATGCCACAATCTTCCCTGGTCCCTCCCCCTATGCCCTTGGACATGTCTCTACCTCAAAGCAATTTGATGTAATATTTATGGGAATGAATAAGCAAAATGTCATTAAGTGTTAGAACTTTATCATTGCAGGTTAACTCTTGAAAAAATATTAATATTATACTCTGTTTTAGGTCTGCCAGAAACAATTTTATTTTATATTAATTTAATATATCTAAGCATTTTTACCTTAGAAAATACAATTTTGGGTTAACACTGTACTTCAACAAATAGAGTAAACAATCATATAATAACTACTCAATTCTTTCCTTCACTAAACTACTCAATTCTTTCCTTCACTAGGCTAATGTAAGATTGGGATTATTAATATTTTAAATAAAATTGTTTCTGGGACTTGTGCCAGTTATTTGGTTGACAATATGTTATTTTCTTCCCCTCGAATGTAAACTCTTCAGGGGCAGGAATTATTTTATTTTTGTTCTTGTTTTCCCAGCTCTTAGCACAATCCCTGCACATAGTAGGAACTTGAGAAATGCTTGTTGAATTGAAGCAAGTTGCTATCAGAGGAGAAAAATATTAAATCATAAAGTTAATGCTTGGAGACCACTTCTCTGAAGGATTGAAGGGGTTCCTTTCCCTGGATCAATATAGTAATTATTTTTAAGTTAGGTGAATTGCTTCAGGGATGGAGAAGCCAACAAGTAAAATTGATTTTAACAAAACAAGAAGTTCTCTGTTAAGTCAGTTAACAGTCAATCACTAAATGCCAAATATGTGTGGGAAAGGCTTCTTGTAGGGGCAGCTAGGTGGCGCACTGAATAGAGCTCTGGCCTTGGAGTCAGGAGGACCTGAGTTCAAATCCAGATTCAGACACTTAACATTTACTAGCTGTGTAACCCTGGGCAAGTCACTTAATCCCAATTGCCTCACCAAAAAGGCAAAAAAAAAAAAACCCAAACCTTCTTGTAGAATGGGAATTTATAGCTGGGACATTAAGGGAAAGCAGGAAACTGGAGATGAAGAGGGAAAGAATTCCAAGTGTGAGGGATAGCCAATAAAAATGCCCAGAGTTTGGAGATGGAGTGTCTTGTTTAAGGAACAGATGTCATTGACTCACAGAGTATAGGGAAGAGAGCTATAAGACTGGAAAGGAAAGAAAGAGCTAGGTCATGAAAGGCTTTGAATGTCAAAGAGAGGAATGTCAAAGAGAGGATTTGATATTTGATCCTAGAGGTAGTAGAGAACCATTGGTGTTTATGGAATGGGGTTAGGATAAGGCTGGTGACAAGGTCAGATTTGTACTTTAAGATCAGTTTGATAGCCAAGTGGAGGATGGACTGGAGTAGGGAGAGATTTGAAGCAGGGAGATCAGAAAGCAGGCTAGTGCAGTAGTCCAGGTATTAAGTGATAAAAACTTACACTAGGGTGTTGACAGTGTCAGAGGAGGGAAGGAGGTGTTTTCTTAAGATGTTGCAGAGGCAGAATCAACAGGTTGAGAGTGAGGCATCAAGGATGACATCCGATTGCTAGCCTAGGGGACTAGGATAGTAGTGGTACCCTCAACATTAATAAAGAAATTAGGAAGAGGGGAGAATTTTGGGGGGAAAACAATGAGTTCAGTTTTGGACATGTTAAGTTTAAGATGTCTGCTGGACATCCTATTTGAGATGTCTAGCAGGCAATTAGAGACGTGAGTCTGGAGATTGTTGGTGAGGTTAGGGCAGGATAAATAAATCTGAGGATTATCAGCAGAGAGACAGTAATTGAATCAGTGGGAGCTGATGAGACCACCAAGTGAAGTAGTACAGAAGGAGAAGAAAAGAAAGCCCATGACAGCCCTGTGAGACACCCAAGATTAAAGGGCATGATTTGGATGAAAATCTAGCAAAGGAGACAGAGAGGCTTGGCAGATAGGAGAAGGAAGGAGAAAATAGTGTCATGAAAACAGAAGAGAGTATTCAATATTTAGTTTCCGCCCTTAATCCCTTTCTCTGTGAAAGACCTTTTGTTCTTAGCCTTCTAACACACTTTTGAAACAGGGAAGAGATCTGGAAAATATTTTTAGACTAAATCAATCCACATTTATTATGCTCCTGCTGTGTGCCAGGCAGTATTGCTAAGTGCTGGGGATAGAAATAGGGAAAGAAAAAAAAAAAGACAGCCCAGCCCCTGCACTCAAAGAGCTTACAGTCTAATGGGGGAAGACAGCAAATAAAAGGAAGCAAAAAGTGGGATTGGGAAAGGTGACTGACTTGGGGGCCTGATGAAGTCAATGTCGAAGTCCCAAAGTAGTGCAGCCAGGTGAGAACATTTATTTCTTAATATTTGTGTAGAAAATGAAAAGGAAATGTTTAATGTGTTCCCACAAGTATGGGAATACAAAATGTACTTTAATTTCCATTGCAAATTTTACCTCAAATTTTCTCTTAATATTTGATGAATATATATACATTTCAATATTTCATAAATGTTGAAAACTATATGAAGTTGATTGAATCACCAATCTGAATTGTTTTTTAATTTTAAAAATGCAGAAATCAAGGAATAGGTAGACTTAAGAATCAGCTAATATCAGTATTTTTTTCAAACCTTTGTAGCATGGACTAAGAGAAAAGTATGGATAGAGCAGTATAAATCTTCCACCATTCCTGGGAAAGATAACACAAAATACTCTTTGGTAATATGGGGGGAATTATTAATTATTGCATTATTTGAATCTAGCCTTCTATGGCAAGAAACCAGATGTGTATTGTTTAGAGACCAGACTAGTTTAATGCTTAATTTAGGACTCCAGGTCAGGCCAACCCCAGAAAACTTCAAGAGACCCAACGATCGACGGGTGGAATTTCCATTTTCCTCGCAATACATTTTATTTAATCTATGTGAAAACTAGTCTGTGTGCCTTATCTGGAAACTCATGCCAGCCAATCAGATGACTGTTTCCTTGCTCTTTTGTTTGAAACCTATATGACTCCTGGGGTAGAGAGGGAAGGGCAAGACACCCTGCAGTCACCTATTTCAACTCTCCCCTCTGCTGGACAATCTAATAAACTTCTTCCTAAATTTCTTCAGTTCTGGGTTTTGTTCTCAGCCAACATCGATGAATTAGTAGTATTATTTTCCCATGTGAAGCAACACCTCACTTGAAAGTAAAGGTAATAGGAGTCTGAGTACTCTCAAAAGAGCTTATACATTTCTAGCTCTAAAGCCGTAAAGTATACTTTAAAGGAAAGCCTTTTAGTCTCTGGCCCTAATTTAACATATTCTATGGTGGTCCTGTGGATCCTTGATTTTATTGGTGTGAATGTGCCCTCCACTGACACTGCGCAAAGACGTGATGAACACAGTGTAACACCCACAGATGGTTATTTGGTTTTCTGGCGCACGGGTAAGAGACAGTAAACTCGAATTTGGAAGTGTGTGGGACAGAGACCACTACTCAAAATCAAGATAAAGACTTAGATACCTTGAAAGCAGAAAGGAGTTTATTGCTTTCTTATAAGAAAGGGTACTGCCCCCCCTCAAACTAATGGCACCGGCAGGGAGTACAAGTTGGTTACAGAAAGCAAGGCTTATTTATACCCTAACGCAAATTCCTCCTCCCTAACCCCCTTCCCCTTATCCCATTGGCTGGGCTTCAGGGGGCACAATCTATTCACCGAAATCTTCCCCAGCAACAGAAAGGCGGGAAGTTTTGCAAGGGTAAACAGTTTAGGTTGGGGGTAGGGCTATTCTTTCTAATATGTGCTTAAAAAAAAAACAGGGGGGGTTGACAAGGTCAGAAGGGAGTGTGTTTCAACAACACAACTAAATTCCTTGAGAAGTCCATCTACAACAGGTGCCTCCAGTTTCTCTCCTCTCAATCTCTTCTTAACCTCTTACGATCTGGCTTCTGACATTTAACTGAGACAGCTCTCTCCAAATGACCAGTGATCTCCTAATTGCTGCACTTTGTGAGAACTATTAACAAGAACTATTAACCCTTTGAGGAGGCTTTACTTCTAAGAGATCATTTCTCACAGGAAGGAAGAGAACAGAGGGAAAAGGAGAGAGGTGGGTAAAAAGCAGATACACTGGGAGTACCAGCCTGTTGGTTGTTTTCCAGAAAAACTGGAAAATGAGAAATAAGATAGCATGGAATTGATTTTTGATGCCCAAGGCACCAAAAGACAGTTAAATTATGTTCATAATCATTTAATAAGGTAGTAAAATGTTTAATATATGAGATGTTCTTCAACATTTGTTAAAAAATGTTTTGGTACCTTAAGAGGTAAGCTAGAAAATTAACTTATATGATGCTATACACACACAGAGGGTTGATTTTTTTGAAAGCCTTTGCCCTCAAGGAGGGCAGATCTAGAAATAATCAGTTTCATAAAAGTTATAGAGAGTAGGTGGGACGTAATCGCAGAAAGGAAGGCATTAGCTACTTGAGGGGACCAGAAAAGGCCTTCTCCTATAGAAGGTGAGATTTGAAGGAAAGCAGGGAAACCAAAAAGCTGAGGTTAGGAGGGAGGGCATTATTCCAGGAACAACCCATGCAAAACCCAGTAGGTGCATGGAGTATTATGTCCTAGAAACAGAAAGTGGGCCAGCATGGCTTGATCATAGAGTGTGGAGGGTGAAAAGTGTAAGAAGACTAGAAAGGAAGGGCCACATTAAGAACTTTAAATGCTAGTTCAATCATTTACAACTCTTTTGAGACCCCCTTTGGGGTTTTCTTGGCAAAGATAATGAGAGAAATGATTATTAAATAACAAATTATTGGGGAAATCCAGGTTTTTTCCCTTCTTACATCCTCATTCTCTACTAGGTCAAGCCAGCACCTGAAGGATAATGAGATTGGATTAACTTTCTCCTCAATCTTGTTCAGACCCTACTCAGATGGGGAAGTTGGGGGTGGTCTGGGAGCAAGAGTGATCAAAGTCAAGTTCCCCTAGCCCCTCCTTAGAAAAGATCTACCTCTCATAATATTCATTCTTCTCATTAATTGTTAACCAGTCAGAGTTGATTGCCACACTTTTAACACCCAGTCTTCCAAGGACATACAAGCTTTGAGAAGGTTCTATGAGGGGTCTTTGGCATTTGAGAGTATCACTGACCCCTTTTATTAATTATTGCTAGCATGATTAATAAAATAATTATCCAGAAACTATGTCTGTTGAACTTCTCATATGTCATAATATTGGGATCATTTGCCATTTCCTTCCCCAGTTCATTGTACAGATGAGGAAACTGAGACAAACAGGGTTAAGTGACTTGCCTGGAATCACACAGCCACTAAGTGTCTAAAGCTAGATTTGAGTTCAGTCTTCCTGACTCCACGCTAAGCACTCTATCCACTGCACCACCTAGCTGTCCCTAAATGTTAGAAAACCTTATTTTGGTCTTGGAGGA